CTGCTGATTCTCCATCCTGTTAAAGTATAACAGGTGCATGGGTGTTCTCTGACCCCAAATCTACTCTAACACAGCTGAAAAGAAAGCTGAAAGCAGAGGAGAGGCTGCTTTTCTGTCTAATGAAATTAAATCTGGCTTGAAATCTGGCTGCGTTTCACTAACAGCAGAGTGCCTTTCTAGTTAGTCTCTGATGGAGAGCAGTAGATGAATTCTACCATGCCACAGTGGTGCAGGGCTGTGCCAGCTCCCCCGATGCCACTGAAATTGCTTATTTCAGTTGTATCCCAGTGTAAGTGAAGGTGGAATTTGTCCCTTTTGAGTTCAATGGCTGAAAAAAGGTCATGCATGAGTTCTAGCCAGACTAACACCGGCACACCTGTACATACCTGGCTGCTCCCCAGTAGGCTAATGCTATTGAGTGACCTGGAAAAATACCGACATTACCCATTAAAGTTTGTTGTCTTACTAGGTAAGAATGGTTAGACAAATGATAGGAGGCTTTCCTAAAAATCCCTAAATGGGCAGTATTTTAGGGAATTTCCATTTACCAATTTAAAGGTAAGAATTCCAGGGGGAAAAAGGGTAGGTGAGTGCTTGTGGTCATCCTCTGCCTGCCTGTCTGCCAAGACTCTCACAGGGTCTCTAAGATTCCCACCTATGGTCACATCTTTTTAACAGCACTTGCTTGTTTCGAAGTGGACTCTATCCACCTAAATACAGTGTGCTTTTGATCATGCATATGCTCAAAGCTCTGATGTGTCTGTTTCTATTTAGCAGTGTAATTAGATGCATGCTTAACTCTAAGCATATGCTTCAGTCCCATTGACTGGGGTCCAATTGTTTGAAGTCCCATTAATTTAGGAATCGCCTGGAAGTTCAGCGTGTGCTTTGGAGGTCTGCTGACAAAGGGTGAACTTAAGAAGGTACTTACACATTTTGCTGGTGGAAATCTAAACAGTGGACTCCGCAGCAGGCAGATTAACACAGTTTGGGGAGAAATTGCTGCCTTATGAATAACAGTATGCAAAATGCTTATTGCCACAAACACATAGGAGATCTCCCCCATTGCTTTTGAAGTGCTTTGCCCTGGATAGACTGCTACATCTGCCCCTGCAGCATGACCTGTTCAGTTATGGGTTTGCGTTCCATTTGCCATCATTAGCCTTGCTGCTTCCCCATGTGCTTCAATATCTGCTGAGTACAATGGACACACAGACAGGGAAAGCTTTGAAATCAGTGCTGTGGCACCAGCAGTGTACGTGCCTGTCGTGTTCACGCCTGATGTAATACCTGCACAAATTCCACTTTGGTACTTAAGCCAAATGCCATTTCTTTTTCAGAGTGTTGTCTCCCTTAGAAATCAGAATTTGGAACTATCACCTGAAACAATCTTTGCACCTCCTGTTTACAAACCTCTCTGTTCATATATTTCCATTTATTGCTGAAAGAGAAAGCGGAGAGGAAGCAGAACACCAGGCTGCTCAGCGTGGAATTTTTTATTTCTCTTTCAAGTCAGTTAGTGCATCCTTCCTTCCACCTCCTGCCTACTTCTCTGAAGATCTTTGAACTCGAAGGGCTACTTAAGTTTCTCTGCTTATTTTCATGCTGTCAAATAAAGGCTGAGTTGCCAAAACTATATTCTTTCAAACCCTGAGATTTCCTACACTTGGGACTTGTGCTGAAAGAGCACATGGAGGTCCCACAGGGAATAACTCGGCTGTTTAAAGCTATTGGAAGCTGAAGCAGGTGTATGGGCTTTCCCCAGTAAGCTGTCTTCATGAGATGAGAGAATAATTAGTCACGCTCAGAACAGACAGGTATATTGGCAGTCCACTGCTAATAGCTTAAGGATTTGTCATTCAGTTCAAGAAAAACAATTCTGTTGGTTTATCTTTTTTTTTTTTTTTCCTTATTTTTTGTTTAAGGAAAAGAACAGTGTGGGAGGGAAAAACTCCAAACAGTAGAATGAAAAATAAAAGGCAACTGCTAAAATAAAACCAGATTGCTAAATCTTATCTCTGTGCTGAACATACACATCTTGTTCCTCTGTCTGCTGTAACCACATTAACTCCTCACTAGCTGCATTTGTCACTAAACTCTTCCTTTTCTTTTTTCCTTGCACAAATCATGCCACATCTTGTCAAACTGAAACAAGACAAATGCTATATGAAGTACATCTCGACGATAAGAGACACACATTATTTGCCATGGCCCAGGAAAAAACAACGTTGATGTTTTAATGCTAGAATCTGAAAAGTCTCGTGTTCTACCCATTCATTACAGTGTCAGTCCAAGTAACATCAGTATGAATGTAGCAATTCTAACCGTCTTAAAGAATAGCCATTCTGAAATACAGCTTTATGAAAAGGTAGTAAAATGCAATTACTGTCCACCTTTGATTCAGAATCATAAGCGTCCATTTCAGACTTCACATTTTTACTGCCTTGCACCATACTCAAATCTGGGGATTGGTTTATTGTTTTAATTCTCTACAGCTGAACGTAACTACCTGTTATATATGTTCACTAGAGCAGTACAGGTCAGTACATAAAAATAAAAGTTATAGTGCAGTAGATAAGGTGGATTACCCTTTTTAAACAAGATGGCGAAATATGATCATCCCTTTTACTCCCTGTTGGTTTCTGGTGGGAGTTTATTCTGTACGGAGCTTTTCAGCGTGAGTGTCCATTAAGCTGCCATGTGAGGGAGGTGAGCGTAGTAGCTAAGCCTCGGGGAGACACACATTAGGTCAGATCCTTGGGATTGGTCCTTTGCCAAGGGCAAGTTTCATGCTGACTACACAGTAATACACCGTAAAGATGTTCCCCTGCATTTGTTTCACAGATGGGCTGCTCTGTAAAAGTAGTCCTGGCTGCTAATACGTATCTCAAGACACTGGAGATCAGGCAAGAATGCAAATCTACGGCCGGCGTGGCACGTGGCTGTTTGGAGGCGTGTTGTCAGGAAAGGGCCAGGTGGGCCCCAATGCAGCGTCCCTGCCCCGCTGGGAAGGGGCACCGCTGTCCTCCCAGTGCCTGAGTAGAAGTCATTCCCTGGGGTCCTTGCCCATGGTCAGAGGGGACAGGCTCCTCTTCATTGCTGACTCTAATATATACATTAGAATGGTACCAGCAATCTGCTCAGAGGGGAATAATTTAAGGAACAGAGCATAACATATGATATTCCCTAAAGTATTTTTATTTTCTTTCAGAATGAGGTTGTACTCAGCTTCTTCCTGAATTGGTCCAAAAATACCTTGGCAGAAGATTCATCATCTGTGACCTTAGGTATGTGAATTACCAATCTTGCTTGTTTCCTAAGAAGGACTTCTTTGATGATATTTAACATAGTAATGCAGAAGTGAGTCTAAAGTGTTTAGGGGGCTTTTTTTTGAAGACATAAAGATACCAACAAATAATTCCCGATTTCTCAAGGTCTCTGAAAGTGTGTTTCTCATGTGACGTGTAGCTTTCTTTCACTTTGACATATTCTCCTCAGCCTTGCTTCGTTTCTTTTTGAATAAACGTACCTATGTGCAAAGTAAGAGTTTATTTACACTAACTATGGCAAGTTTCTTGTTGTTGTACAAAACTAAATCTTCAGAGAAGAATCTGTAGGAAAGGATCTGAGTCGTGACAAAGCACAATGTGTGCTCGGACAAGCGAAGAAAATCAGACATGACTTCTAAAGTCATTTTCACAATGAGTGGAGCAGGTAAATAACAGAACATTATGTTAATGCCTAGGCATACATTATTAATGATAGTGGTAATTCAATTCTTACTAAATGAGATTCTGCACTGTTCCCTTAGCCTATCTAAACACTTAACCCATTTCCCTCTTCTGTCCAGCACCTAATTTAATGTAATCTCTGGCATTACAGCATTAAGAGCCAAAGCATAAACCATAAAATGTAAACTGTGAATGTTTATTGTCTTCCACTGCGCTAGTTCTGCACTGAAAATAATCTTCCATAGTCAGTTTTTAGGCAAAATAAAATCTCATAAAGAAGCCTGCAGCTGCACTCTGCACCACAGCAATTCAGCTGGTGGTTATGGGCTCCAAGTGTTAAGATAGCTTGCAAGATCACCAGTTATCCGCGTTTCAGAAAGAAGTGCAAGTATCTCTGCATGTTTAGTTTGCATGTCCATTAAGTTAATTTAATCTCCCTGCAGACAGGGGTTTCATTATCTTTTTTGCTGGGGCCATTCTTTTTAAACCATCAGAACAAAATAAATCCCATTCTGGCTTCTCAGCCTTTAGAAGATTCCCCCTGTGTAGAGTTTATTTGATTAGGGTATGCCATTATCTTATTGAATCCATTATGACTATTGGAAATTACTAATGGTTGCTCTAACATTTACAGAGGAATGAGGAGATAATGCAGAGATGCCCTAGGTGTTAGGAACATACATAAGGCTAAATCTTGTCACATAAAATCTAAACCAGAATTCAAATGTAACATGTAGTCTGGCCCCGAGTGCTGCCTCTCTCTGCAGACTCTTTAGCCAAAGATACAGAGACATGTGAGAGTAAGCTGAGGCATAAGGGAGTTAAAGTCCCAGATTTTCAGAAGGATTTTGATGTTTCACTAATGTTTAGGTGCCTAATTATTACAGAGAATCTGGGTGGAAAAGCCTTATGCAAAAGCATGAACTGGGTCTGTAATAAAGTTGAGAAATAAATTACAGCCTCATAATTCTTACCGTGGTGTCCCAAGCCAATATAGTCTGAGAGATAAGCCCTTATTTTTGTTGTCTGTGACATCAAAATCAGAGAAGAGAATAGAGAAACAGAGGTAAGAATGTGTTTAGTAGGTGTTTGATGAAAGCTATGTGACAGGTAACCCAATCTGCTGGTTCGCTATACAGTTAGTGGAAGTGAAGGTCACAACATGGTCAGGGGAGATTAATGTGTCTCTGGCCTCAAGCAGTATGGTTACAGAGGGATTTTTTTTTTTTTTACTGCTCAGGAACTCTGCCTTTTAAAGTTTGTACACTTCAATTCTAGACTCAGGGCAAAACCTTTGTTTAATGTGGGAGAAAACAAAACAAAACAAAAAAACTACCTCCCTTTGGCATAGAAAATTCATTGCTATCATTTACTGATAGAATGTCAATTTCCAAATAAGGACTCAATATGTTTAGACTCCGTAAAAACAGAGAACAAGAATAATGGACTGAGTTGCTCTGGGTATGGCACCACTTCTGGTCAGCGAGGAAGGGAATGCGCCTGGTTGACAGTCGATTGCAGTGAACTGTGGAAGTAGGTGAGCTTAGCTGTAAATGAGCTAGCTCAGCTCTCAGAGGAAGACCGGCTACGCATGTGCTAGCCACTCACCTGAAACATTATTTTCATATATGTTAGCTTATGCTTTGCCCCTCGTTGTTGGAGTTGGGCTGCTGCCATACCCTAGCTAGCTCACTTAGATCTTTGCTGCATGGCATTCTGCACCCTGTTATCATCCATCCTGGGAGAAGGAGAAGACACAAGTCCAGCTAAGGCAGGAGGTGGCTGATCATGCCAAGCTGCCAGGTAGCAAACAAGGATTTTCTGGGAAGAGCAGAGTGTCTCTGGAGGCTCTTGTCTGCTTAGGGTGCCCTGAAAACACTCTTGATTTGAAAGGAAGCCCTGCAGTAACGCTGTAGTCACTCTGGGGCAGGAATTAAGTTCACTGAGCCTGCAGGAGAGAGGCAATTTCCATGAAAAGAATACATCCTTCCCCCACAGCTTTCATTGCTTTATGAGCTTATAAGGGCCTTAATTTTTGCCTGCTTTGAAGAATAACTCAGGTTTAATATGGGCTGTAGCTTTCCACGAATCTGGTGATTTCTTTCTCAGCCTTTACGCAAGCAAATCATCTGTCTCTTAGTTAGGATCAATATAAAATAAAATGAATGCCCAATAGAAGCAGGTTATGAATTTTGATCAAGACAGCAGCTTTCCCTTACCCTGCTTTAATTTATAAATGTTGTAGGTAATTACACTTACTAAAGTAAAATAAAAATTAAAATTTATGAATTTGTACTGTGCTTCTAGCAATGAAGAGATTAAAAATCAGTGCTAAATTTACTTTGACATGAATACTGATTCAGTACTCCCAATGGGGTGAATTCTGAATTATACTGAATATTGTCAGCATTTCATTATACCAAACTCACTACAAGGGACTGAGAGCAGGTATCAGGAATGATTTCACAGACAGCCTTTTATAAAGGCCCTTTAAAAAAAGAAAGAAAATCTATCAAAAATATTTTTGTATCAATCTTGTTTATTTTTCTTGAGTTTGTATCTCCTGAAAATATTAATAATTCAGACTGTTTTTGCCAAAGTTATGAAATCATGAAGTCTCTGCTACTGGTTATAACAGTGCACAACCCAGGTCCAGGTCTGGCATGTTTGACTGCATTTCAGTGGGCTTCTGTCCATTTAGTGCAGTAGAGGAACTGGCTTTGTGTCCTTCTAAAGGAAGATCCAAGCTTTCCCAAAAGTATGGTATGCCTCTCCATGCAGAATCACAGTCCTCACGAATGGTCCCTGAGGTGTCCAGGCTATTTTGCTCGTGTTACGTAGCATTTCGGTCTGCTGCAGTTGCTCATTCTCGATGTAAATCTTTTGCCACCAGTGATGTTCCTTCTTTAGTTGCATTTAGGCTGTTTTGCTGGCTGTAAGCACCTCTTGCTGGCTTGTGGGACAAAACCAGTGGGATAGTCGGTTAATGTATTTACAGCTGACTGTCTGAAGTTGGGTACATCGGAGGCTCATAAACCCAGGCTGTAGCTAAAGCAGGCAGATGGTTGGCTCGGGGCATTCAACCCTGGCCCTGGAAAACCAAACAGGTTCCAGTACCCTTTGGTGCCAGATGTCAAAACAGGCTGTCACCAAGAAGAAAGGTCTAAGAAAAATATGAGAGTGTAGAATACAGAATAATATTTAACTCCCTAACAGTAGTGCTGTGACGCTTAGTTAATTGGTGTTTTCACTCTTGCTCTGCAGTCCACGTGTGAAATGCAATGTATTATTAAATTATAGTTTCCCTATTGATCTTGTCAGTCTTCTGTGTGGCATCTTCCTTGCTGCTTATATTTCTCGTGCGTTGTGCAAAGCGTAATGCGGAGCTTATTTTAAAATGCTGCTAATGAAAACATTGCAGAAATGATAGAATATAGAGCTGGTAGTTCTCCAACATGCTAGAAAAGACCACCTAGATAAAGAAAAGAACCACATACTTGACTACTCCGAAGATCATTCCACCTTCAGTAGAAATTTGAACACTAATTGCCTTAATTGTGTCATTTGAAAAGAAAAAAAGGACCCACAGTTTTCTAGTGTTTATGCTGCTTAATAAAAGAGATTACAAACTGGCACAGTGTTTGAGTTTTTTTCTGCAGTAGGGATTGATGGCTGACTCCCACTGCAGAGTGCTGGGACACGCAGGCACAAGTCATATAGAAAAATGGTACGAGTGCTCCAGGGTCCTCGTTTGGTATTTGACAGCTTTTGCATTGACACCAGTGCACGAAGAATCAATCCCTAGAAGGGAAATCTTGCTTCGGCTGAAGTCAGTGGAGCTTTGTGCTGTATCTACAGCAGAGCAGCATTTGGTCTTTGCTTATAATGGAGTGCAAGTAGAGCATGACAGTTCCTAAAAATGCAGGGCCTGAGCTCAAGTCCATCTGCCCAAGCTGGATAGACTGGAAGTAATTATTGTATGCGTATTTTATTATCATTTGAAGCTAAAATCACCTAGACTTCAAAGAGGCTATGACTTAGCACTGAATGTGGGAAACCTAAAATATAGCAGCTGAGTGTAGCTAACAGTAACTGGTTTTTATTATGAAATATAAGCAATAGAAGTTTCTTCCATGTTTATCAGATTGTTATTTTTTTCTTTTCCTTCCTTTTATTTTTTTTTTATTTTTTCCATTAGTACTCAATTTATTACATAGCAAGAACAAATATTTTTGTAATAGCCGTGCCCACAGTGTCTGCTTCAGACTTCATTTTACATACTCAATTAGAAATGCATTTTCCCCTCCTATGTTTTTCATTATTTTCAACTTTGTTAGAAACTTATTTACATTTATTTTTTTTCTAACTGAAAATGTCAACTCCCACAGAGAAATTCCTTGACTGGATATAAGCACTCACACTATAAAACTTAAGTAATGCAGAAAAAGGCACTGGCAGTGCTGGTAGGAGAGGGGAGGCACAGTGTTCAGCTGAATTCTAATGATGCAATTTAGCCTCTGAATTCTGTTGCTCTTGCTAAACCGCTCAAGATGACCCACTGCAATTCACAAAATTAACAGAGCCCCGCAAGTGAATTGTGCCGTTATGTTAAAACACAACTCCCCTGGTGTTACGCTGTGTTTAATGGTCTAGGATTCTACCTTTCCTGTTGCAATGTAAAGGGAAAAGGACCCACAGCTTAAAAAACATATGGTAAAGTGGCTTTGCATGATGGTGGGACGAAATTATTTTTGTGGGCTTTTTGTTACTCTGGAAAAAGCTAAGCATTGTCTGGTTCATGGAGTTTTCATCCCCTATCACCCCTGTCCTTATTTGCATACAACAAGAAATGAAATAAGGTACAGGCTGGCTAAAAGACTTGTCAAAGTTCATAAAGGAGAATAACAAATGAAGACCTGCACCTCGGTCTTCTAAGTCCCAGCTTAGTGATTACTTCGTAAGATTTCAATTCTTCAAGAGTCTGTTTCAGGCCCTTCTCTAATTAGGTTGTGATTAAAAATGTATTTTTGTAGTCTCTAAAGGGAAGAAATTGGAGATGGAATCATAGTCTAAAGTTCCAGTCCAAACATCAGAAACTCAGACATGTTGATATCCAGGCTGCCTGGAAAAATTATATTATGGCGGTTGTATGTACACACTGTGTTATCTTTAATTCATTTGAATTCCTTTCCTAGGGATAAATGGCAATTGCACTACCTCTCTGGCTGTCAATAGTACACGACACCACTGTAATTCTATCGGCTTAGTAGGTTTTTTTAGCCTCTGTTCACTCCAGAGGTTACACATTTGGTTTCTTCAGAAAAATAGAGCCAACGTGGCTTATTCATTATAACTTCCCCTCTGCTGCCTCCTCTGCTGAATAACAGAGTAAAGGCTGAGGAGAGGGAGTTTGATTTCTTGCTCTCACAACCCTGGCTGCAGCAGCTCTGGTTCTCGTGTGGAAAAGAGAGAGCGGGAGCGCGGCAGAGAGTGCACAAGTGTCTGCTGGGGCCGAAAGGAAGGCGTGGGAACCCTGCCTGCTACTGGGGATGAACGGTCCTCGTACGCTCTAAAAAGCCTCTTCTTGCTAGCGCGTAACCCCCACGTGTGATGAGAGTTCTTTTGTTCTCGTCATCCTTCCTCATTCCTTCTGCTTCTTAAGAGATACATTGCTATTTAAAGAATTAATTGCCACTGTATTGTTTTGCTTCGTGTCGTTAACTCGCCTGCCGGTGGTTTTTAAGGCCAGTGCGTCAGCGGCGGATGCCAATGTGCGTGCAGGGGAGCAGGACTTTTCTGTCTGAGGCCTCAAGGTCAGCTACTTCTTTAACAGGGAGGCGGGCAGAACAGAGCCCCACTCATGGGAGATCACTGTTTTGTCATAAGGTTAGCAGGACCGAGGGCTTATTTTTCCAAATATAGTAATTATATGATAGTGGCTGTAATGCAGCTCTGGTCTAATTAAATGAAGCCCTGTTTGCATAAGTAAAACCAGGCTAGTTCACACTGGCAGTGCCTGGACTGCCTCTGACGATGACCACGTGGGGAGAGCCCCGGGTCTCACACCAAGTGGCACAAAATGGGTCACGTCCACCCTGGTCAGGCTGAACAGTGCGCAACGAGAAGGTCAGATAGATATCGAGGAGAGGTGGTTGTGTTCATCATTACCTGGTATACACTGGTAAAAGCCATCTGTATTTTCTCTGCTGTCTCTGTAGGGCAGGTAAGCCACGTTACTTACCCAACTTCAGGGACACACCTTTTTGGCAGTGAAGACAGCTGGCTCAATGCCTCCAGCAGAAAGAAGGAATGGGATATGCTTAGTCATGTCTTCCACATTATAAGACTGATCCTTCTCACTTGGAAACTGAAAAAAATGTTTTTTTCAGTGGGAACAGAATCAAACTCTGTAAATGCATCTTAGCAGAAAAATCTTTGAAAGCAATGAGTTGCATGAAAACCAGCCTGGAAGAGGAAAAATACAGAATGAGGAAGGGAGAATTTATATGTGATATAGATGTTGTTTCTGTAACAGTTGTTTTGGCACTGGTCTGGAGGCTTGATCTTTTTTTTTTTTTTTTTTCCCCCCCTACTGGGAACTGAAAAATCCAGTGTTTTTAACCAGATAGAATTGCAACCATACTGACTAGTGTCATTGATGGTTGCCAAAAAAAACCCCCAATTATTTGTTACTCAAGCATAAATTTCCCACTGAAATTCAGATTGATGGCAATTAGAAAACAAAAACTCTCACTGTCAGTCTATAAACAGGGAAGAAAATGAGCTCTGCATGTCAGACCACTTTCTTCCATCACACCCCTTATCAGTGTTTTCTAATTTCCTCCCTGATTTAAGCACACAATAGGTTCTTCTTACATATTAGTTCATGTGTACTGCAATATTTTACAGATGTACTTCTACTGAGTTGTTAACTAAAAAAATCAAACTATCTGTCCTTCTTTAGGTCCTCAGTCAACTGATCATAAGCCTGGAGTACAATTAGTCATATCCTACGAGAGTACCCGTCTGACAATAATGTTGAAATACATGAGGAACATCGTGAGTATTTTTATCATAATCTATAACTCATAAGTCCTTGCACTTGCAGAGTACTGTGAAAACATTAATCGTCAAACACCCTTTCCAGGATAACTAATTTTAACTCAAACTAATGACAATGCTTTTCTGTCATCATTTAACACTTGCTTTCTTCCTTTGAGCTCACTCAGTATGGTTACAGGTATGGCACACCTACAGAAACTGTTTCCTTAATGGCTGGTCATGGCCTTTTCTAGGCCATATATAAAACTCTGATGACAGTTTTGGCCCTTTCAGATGTTGCGTTTTGACACCTGTCGGACATAAGGCATCATAGAATCATTTAGGTTGGAAAAGACCTGTAAGATCATCAAGTCCAACCATTAGCCTAACCCTGCCATCCCACCACCTAACCATGTCCCTAAGCACCTCATCTACCCATCTTTTAAACACCTCCAGGGATGGGGACTCGACCACTTCCCTGGGCAGCCCGTTCCAATGCTTGACAGCCCTTTCATTGAAAAAATTTTTCCTAATGTCCAACCTAAATCTCCCCTGGCACAACTTGAGGCCATTTTTCTTCATCTTATTGTCCGTTACCAGGGAGAAGAGGCCGACCCCCACCTCGCTACAGCCTCCTGTCAGGCAGTTGTAGAGGGCGATAAGGTCTCCCCTCAGCCTCCTCTTCTCCAGGCAGAACAACCCCAGTCCCCTCAGCTGCTCCTCATAAGACTTGTGCTCCAGACCCCTCACCAGCTTTGTTGCCCTTTTCTGGGAGCAGTCCAGCACCTCAATGTCTTTCCTGTAGTGAGGGGCCCAAAACTGAACACAGTATTCAAGGTGTGGTCTCACCAGTGCCCAGTACAGGGGCACAATCACTTCCCTGCTCCTGCTGGCCACACTACTCCTGATACAACTTTTTGTAGGTTGTCAGCCTGGTGTTATTGATTAATTATCCACACATTTCTTTCAAGTTCGGCATGAGTGGTCTGTGATCAGGGAAGAGCTCGGCAGAGGGAGTAGCAGTGTATTTTAAGAAGCAATGCCATCTGATGAGGTGATGCTCAGCTTTGTAACATGCTCTCTGTCATGAGGCTAAGTGGTAAATGCTCTGCGTTCCTGGAGCCAGACTATGAGAGGGGGATGCTGGCAGCACTCCCGCAGCACAAGACAGGTGAAATTGGCTGGTGAGGATATCTAGAGAGATCTAAGCTGGTGCCGTGTGCGATCTCTCAGCTGAAGCAGCGTGTCTGCTGTTTCATAATGAGTTCGGCCGCTTAGATGGGCTCTTGAATCCCCCATGGCTCAAGTCTCAACTAATGGCTGCGGCAGAGAGATCCTTCACTATCTTTGTTTAGCTAGGAGATTAAAGCATTTATTAACTCTTGTGAGTTCTCATTACACACACTGATGCCACCTCCATCCCAAACTGGATTGCAATTGCCTTCCCTAAATGGGGCCAAACTGAGGAGCTTATGTGGGCACCAGCCACTAATAAAATGAGGCCGAATGTTTAATTAGTTGTGTGAGACTCAGGAGGCTTACATAGCTCCAACTGTTCTCTGTTGGCTGCTCTGGCTTCTGATCTGTAATTCAAGCATGTTCATTTTGGTCTATAATGTCCAGTAAGTCTCTGTCCTGAGAGACTTGTCTTTTCTTTCCTGTCTGCCACCTTGACAGGTGGGATCAGCCTCCGCTGAGAGGTCCAGTTTATACGAACTTTACCTTCAGGATATAGTATAAGACCCTCTTTATTTTTTCTATTGTGCTTTTTTAAGCTAAGTGACTCGGATAAACTTCTGGTAGAGTTCTGGTTTGCGGGAGGGGTACATTTGAGTGCCACACTGCTGATGTCACTGTGATGTCACTTCAGACAGGTGATGTGGTGGTGCACCCAAACAGAACTACAGATGTTGGAAATAGTCTTCCTCCTTGTTTCCATCATTTTTAGTCTACAGGCTCCTAACAGTGTTCTTTAACTTAGAAAGTTCCAGCCATTTAATTAAGTGAAAATAAATTACAGCACAGATAGCTGTGCATAACAAAAATAAAGTCCAGGGTTCAGTTCACTTCATTATGGAAAGGGAAAATGCAGGTTTAAGTTATTGTCTGGCTTTTGAAAGTAGGTGACTTAAATCCATTTTAGTGAGTTTGCAGAGAAGACGTAGGAGTCCAATTCAGTAAGACTAGCAATGATTCATGACTTGAAAATAAGGTCATGGTTTTAGCAGCCTAACTTAGGAAATCATGTTTTTAAATCCTGGGCTTCCGATTCCTTCCTTCCATCTGGCCATCCATCCATCGTCATCTGATCTGAAATATGACATAGCAGTGCTTTGGGGCACTGTGATACTGGACTGCCTTCAGACTTGTAACCTATAACAGAAATGTTCTTTATCCCATTAATAATCTTCTCAGCTTTCCAGTCATATAGATCAATCTCTCTGACGTGCTCTCTTTTCTTTCCCTTTCCTTTGCTTTTTTTTTTTTTTTCACTTGAGCTGAGCAGGGATTTTAAAAGTATACCGAGATCGTATCTTATTCAAGACATGTTAAAGCTATTTCAGGTATATTCAGTCTTTTTCAGAGTCTCACTAATTATATTTTAGTGCTTCATCTGTGCAGAGATTACTTTTCTATCATCTTGTTTTATTTCATAATTTATAGTAAATAATTTTTGTGCTGCTCTTCCCCATTTAATTTATCTTTTTATAGAGACTTTATGATGTGTTCAGATGTGAAAATAATTGTAACGGGCCAAATGAATCCCAAACGTAGCTTCACAGAACTGACAGGAATTGTAATAGAGACTTTTGATCCATGTATATAAATTTTATTTACTATTTGTATAGGCTTACTTCTAGGGGTTTTAACAGGATTTCTAGATCCCTCTGTGCAAATCCTATATTAATACACAATGCACAAGGGAATCCCTAAGGAGGTGGTGTTTATAGCCATTGTCAAGTACCACACAGGTTTTTTAAAAGGACACAGTCGTGGTAGTGCGATGGTATAGCTTTGCAGGTTTTTTTCATGAAGTTAACCCCATTCACATGGGATGTCACAGAGAAAAACTGCTATCGCAGTTGAGGGCGCATTGATCTGGTGCAGACCTGCCAGAGGGCTGTCTTATGTGGGTGCATGTGCAGACTCCGCAGTGCAGGCACTTCTGATCTGATGCATCCACATGTGCCAAATCTGCTGCAGACGTACAAGTCAGCCATCCCTAGATCTGCTTCAGAATGTCCTCTCCCATGTCCTCTCATCAACATTGCAGTCATGTGTTACACAAGCCAGCCTTGCTTGAAGAAACTCTATCAAAAATGCTTCAAAGACCAACCATGGAGAAGAACAGCCTTATAGAATTTGCGACTGGAAAGGACCATTAATCTAATCTAACCTCATGTAAAGCCCAAGCTATATTTTTTCACTGAGAAAATACTTGCATCTAGACCAGCAATGCAGATGGCAAAACTGTTTGAACAGAGATGTAAGACTGGTTGCAAATGTTTGTCTGCAGTTTAAGACGGTGGGTGCACAGTGAAGATGAGTTCTGTTAAATAGATATGTATAAGATACTAGCAATGTTTCAGTCTCAAGATCTTCCTCAGCAATTCATAGTTTTATTTGAAACCTGAGATTCTGTAAGTTAGGTGACTCACATCAGACTCACTGCTTCTGCTCACGATTTGAGTGGCATCACTATGACTGCTGAGGAAAAAAAAAACCTTTAAGTCCAATTTTCAAAGACACAAAAGCCATGATGCTAATAAAATGCAATTTTCCAAATATGCATAGTATATAATTTGAAGTCAGCCTCTTGGGGCATTACTTGCTCCACTCAAATGCAGACAGTGCAACACTGGGCACTTCTTGCATAGGCAGTACAGGCAATATTGCCTTAAAAAAGTGAAGCTGGGCTAGAAGGAAGCTTTGTGGAGGGATGTAAACTGAAGTGGTTATATGGAGAGACCTCTAAGTCCTGGAGGACATGGCAGCAGGAGGGGATGAGACAGGGCCTATACTGTGAAGGCAATAGCGCAGCACCTGGCAAAGTGCACTGAGCAGCACAGGGCAGGGCAGGGAGGTGTGTTTTGGCATGTGAAAGACCTTGTTAGCAAAGAACAAAAGCAGTCCAGTTGTGGCAGCACAATACCCAGAAAAATACCAGCAGGCAGGAACAGGAGCAGAGGAGGAAAGCCTGAGAAAGCCTACCTTAAAACATAGGCGCCTAGATCTGCATAGAAGCTGTGGAGGTGGATTTATGAAAATTGAAAGACACGTAGGTTTTGAACTTGAAATGCTCAAGTCCAGCTCCATTCGTCTGTATTAACCAACACAGAGCATGGGGGATATCAAGACCATAGCAGATCTTACACAGAGCAGACTGTGGGCTAGCTTAGTACTGCACAGCCAGAAACAGCCGGGCTACCTACTGCTGCACTGCTGGGCTTGCTCGTCTGTTCAAAAAGACACCACAGGCAAAAGAAATAGCCGTTTCTGAAGTTCAGAAATATTAGAATATCAGAAAAAAAAAATATTTCTTTTTCTGCTTCACAGAGAACCAGAAGGGAACAGTGTTTCAGCATTGGCTTGGAAGGAAGTCTGCTTTGTCTGCCGACTTCATTGCCATAACTTCAGGCATGCCCTGTTTTTCTAGATAAGCAGCTAAACTTTCAATCCTTGCTGCTAAACATTTTTGCCCATTACTTGGTGTGGACAGAATAACTCCTCAGGGGCAGTGGGGAGGAGAAACAAAGCCAACTTATCCTGAACCTCATGCCAATAAATGTAAAATGTTACTAGAATTCAGGAAAGCATGTGTGGGTGATGAATTCAGAACCAATTTTACAGGGGGAAAATTTGCTGGAAGAAAAATAAACTCCTACAGTACTTTCCAAAACTACTTCCAGCTTTCCTTTTATAAAAGCTCTGAAGCTGTCATGTACCACTCTTTGCTGATTAGTGATTCTGGGATAGCTGATATGTGGGTGACGAATTAGTAATCAGCTTTAGGCTTA